AGCTCTTGGCTTGCTGATGTTTTAAATGAGAGCATTGGACTAAATGTGCAAGACTTCTCTAAGCTCTGAGATTTTCAGGGTATACACAAATCATATACATTAAACATCAAATTCAGAATCTTTAAATATTTCATTAATATAAATAACAGGCCGAATGAATATGGGGAGATTCAACTGAAAGATAAACGTCACAGCTATATCCAGCAGGCTCCATAGGTGCAGACTAAGAGAACTTGGCTTGAAAGCCATTTGAGTTAAAGACACCAGCAGCCCCGGGGAATTGCTGTTGATCTCAAAGTAAACAGAGTCAATCAGTGACTGAGTGAGCCGTGCTTACTGGAGTTCCTTCACCTTCACCAGAGAAACATGGGGAAGCAACTCATGAGGCCTGTGAGGATCTATTGAAGGCCACACATTTCATCCCTGTGCTCTCTGCCCATTGGTCTTACCTTGGCCCAGTGAGTACAAGTAGATCATGACACAGGGCACATTTGATTCAAGGTCAAGTGGTTTTATAAGGCATTATGGGGTCAGTGAATGGTATAAAATCTTTCTTGGAGCCTCTTGGCTTTGCCTTACACCCCTCCCCCTAAGAGGCAATTGTTCTAGGTCACAACCCTCCCCTCCTGGTGCACAAAGTCACCTAAACACAAAGCCCATAGCCAGAGGCAGCTTCTGGAATTCTCACTCTCTCAGCTCCTCAAGAGTTATGGGCATTAATCGGTGGTCCCCTGGAGCACACTGCCACTCTGCTGACTGGAACCAAATCCATCTTAAAGTTGGAAATATGCCCCAGTGGGGGACAGACTGTGATTTAATGCCATCCAAGTACTACGGGGCACACTTCTTAAAGAAACCATTGTAAATTATTTGTGGATAATTCTGCTGGTGGACGGAGGGCATGGTATGTTCTGAAGAACAAGAGCCCAGCTTGTATCTAATAATTGTTATATCTCCTCTGAAATTTACTGCCGATGTCTCAATTTTAACAATTTAAATAACAAGCTTAACCAAGTGGAACGAAGCTCAGGCAGGCTGGCGCTCGGGATGTAGGCAGGACAACTCATGTCTCAGCGAATTTTCACTTTGACATGAGCGGTGACACACAGAGATGAAATCTGGTTAAAGCGGCAGCTTTGGCAACCCCATGACAGCTTCTTAGGCTCAGCAAAACAATTTCAAGAGAGTGCACACATATACTTGTTAACTTTACTTAAGAAGACTGATTAGAGACAACAGTTATGAATATGCTAATAAGAGGTGCGAGCCGGAAGGTACACCATAGAGCTGGGTAATTGGCACTGCTGTTTCCATCGCTTTTAATGGACTGCTTGATCGTCTTAATCTTTGGCTGCATCTGTTGGTTTGGGAACTGGAGGGATCTTTCGTATGCCTCAAGGATTAATGACCACAGAACGTTGCTGTCCCACCTGTGAGTTGGTGCAGAGATGTTTTGTGGTCAGTCCTAAACCCCTTTAGATTATCCTCCCTTAGGCTTTCTTTATTCTGTGTCCTGAAAGAGTCCCACAATGTCAAAAAAAAAATGCCCTATGCCCAAAGTTTAATAATGCATACAAAGGCCAATTTTGAGAGAGCTGTGCCAATGGCAGCTATAACTCAAGGAAAACTGAAACATGAGTAGCGGTATCTCTCTCCAATTGCAAAGTTGTGAAAGCAAAGAGACCAGCCCAAGAGCTAAAAGTCACTTCTGTGGATCATCGCTTCCTCTTGAGCAAGGAACTAAATGTGTGATATCAAGGGCATATCTGTTTTATAATCTTATGCTTTGACCTACAAGCACCTTAGACTAACTCAAATTCACTTGCATTACCTTAATTAAATAATGGAAACCTTAATTGGATACATTCACTCTATCAGTTTGGCAATTTCTTAAACTGTTAAACATGCATCTGCCTATGACCTAAATGTTACCCAAAGAAAATAAGTACGAAAATCTACAGAAACTCTTGGACATAAATATTCACACCAGCATTATTTCTAATGACCTCAAGCTGGAAACAACCCAAAGAACCATCAACGTACAAACAAATGGATAAAGTGTGCTCTAGCTGTCCAAGAGTTGGCACCTTTAGCAGCACCAGCAAGTCTCACAATACATATGCTGAGTGAAAAAAAGCCAGACAAAGAAGATACACTGCCTATTGCCACTTTACAAGAGACTCCATAAGCAAACTAACCCCTAGTGATAGCCAGTAGATCAGAAGGGTGTAGGAATTCCCCTGAGGTAGAGTGGGGAAAGCCCCCAGGAGGAAGGAGATTGCAGTGGGGTACAAGGGCGTTGTGTGTGTTCACTCTCCCATAGTGGTAATGGCTTCATTGAGGCACAACTATGTCAAAGCTTATTCAATGTTCAAAAATGGATAGTCTAACCTGTTCAACCATATTCGCTGCTACTCTATTCATAATAGTCATAAACTGAAACAACTTAGATGTCCATCAGTGAACAAGTGAATGGATAAAGAAAATGTGGTACATTCGCACACAATGGGATACTACTTAGTTGTTAAAAATGAAATTATGGGATTTTCAGCTAAATGGATGGGACTAGGAAAAAAAATAATCCTGAGTGAGGTAACCCAGACCAAAAAGACAAATAAGGTATGCATTTACTTATACGGGGGTGTTAGCTGTTAAGTCCTTGATAAGTAGGCTACAATCCATGTAATTTCAGAGGTTAGGTGTAAAGTAAGGACCTGGTGGGGAGAGAGGATTGGATCACACTGGGGAGGGAAAGCAGAATTGATAGTTACGGATGGATATAGATGGTGGGCTGGAATGAGAATAAATAGGGAGGGAAAGGTGAGGGAGAGACAGCTAAAATGAAGTGCCATTTGGATACAGCAGAAACTTCCTGAAATATATACATATATGAAGGCAATCCAAGCAGAATCACCAAATAATAAGGGAGACAGAACCACAACTGAATATTTCTTGTCACCAAATGAAACCTCGAGTTCCAGGAATGGATTGTTGGCCAAAGGGGTCCCATGGGAACTCCAAAACAGCACAGGCTATTGCCAAAGCGGTTGGTTGCTCTCCACAAACGCATGGTAAGGCCTCATTGCTGCAGACAACATCTGTACCACTCATTAAACATGGAGACGTTGAGCAGGTGCCTGCCGAGAGCCTTCACCCCCACAGACTAGTTTTCATGGTACTAGAAGGTACTCTGAATGCTACCAAAGGAGAAATGCAAACCCCAGCCCAGCTACAACCCTTTTTTAAATCTGCAATGGTGACCTGCGTGTAAGCTGTGCTAATGCAATGATGGCAAGAAGCTTGTGGAAGTCAGTAACCAATATCTGATTGTATTTAAGGCCTACTCCATGAGATGGAATCCATCCCTGACAAGAACCTGAGACTAGATAGGCCAGAGACACGGGGGAAACCAAATACTGGTTCTGCTACAGGAGCATAGCAATCAAATGACTCCTAACTACATTCTGCTATACTCATAGATCAGAGAAGCTTCCTCCTACAGTAGATGGGAATAAATACAGAGACCCACAGCTAGATATTATACAGAGATTGAGAGACCTTGGAACATTCAGTTCTCTGCAGGATATCTCCATCAATTCCCTCTCCTCAGAGATCAAGGAACCCTGTGGAAGAGGAGGCAAAAGGATTGTAAGGGCCAGAGAGGTCAGGGAACACCAAGGAAGCAAGGCCTTCTAAAGACATCAGGACTGATGCATCAATGAACTCACAGACACTGTGGTAGCATGCATGGGGACTGGGCAGGTCTGGGCCTGATGGGTTCCAGTGCTGAAAGGGGACTTGGACATGAGCCCTCATTCTAACCCAGAAACTAACTCAATTGATAACCACTTGCAAATGAAAAATGAGTTTTCTCCAAAGGAGTCTGACACTTAGGGCTGGACACTTTGTATAGCTGTAGATGATCAAAATAAAATGAACTCAATGCCATTGGGGAGGTTTTCTTTGTCTCATAATGCTTTATTAGTTTATTTTGTAAGCTTATGGGTCCTTCATGTATATATTATGGTTTAAGTTTTGTACCTTGATGGGATTTCTGTGTATATTAATGTGTCTGTCTTGCATCTATATGTATTTCTTGAAGTTTTTCTTTGGCTCTTTTTCTTTTGTTTGTTTTGTCCTATTCTTGTTTGTTTGCTTTTATTTTATCCAAATTTGTTTTATTACTGTTATTATTATTTTAGATGTCTGTTTGTATCCTAATGAGTGAAAAAAAGAAAAGGTGTTGATTTGGGTGGGTGGAGAAATAGGGAGGATCTGGGAGGAGTTGAGGAAGGGGAAACCATAATCAGAATATACTATAATTTTAAAAACCAAATTACAGTTAAAAAAAAAGAAAGAAAAAGAAAAATGGATAGTCTATTGAGTGCCAATTATACTGCCATGGAATCTAACTTTTTTTTATATGTCAGACATTACTATGTCTTAGTTCTTCCCCCACCTCTTTGAGTCAAACTTGCTACATAGGATGACCTTGAACTCCCGTGGACTCTAACTTTTAATAAGTTTAAATACATGCATAAACCTAAATTCTCAGAATTTATCATAAAAAAATCAAAATTATGTACTGGGGTGTAACATAAGGTACATGCACTGCAACACCAGAAACAGACACACACAAAAGGAGGGCAGTTTAAACGTCTGCAAGAAGAGAACTGAGCAAAATGCACCACCTCTGTGTGTTGCACTGAGATGTAGCTATTGAAAGCCCTGTGGAGAAGGCTGGGGAAATGGCTCAGTGGCTAAGAGCACTTGCTGCTCTTGTAGAGGACTTGGGTTTGTCTCCCAGCACCCACATGGTGACTTACAACCACCCATTCCTCCAGTACTAGAGGATCTGACACCCCCTTCTGACTTGCTGCTGTCAATATACGAGGTCCACATCCATACATGCATGCAGAACAATGATACCCACAAAGTGAAATCCTAAAAATTGTTTCCTAAGTCACACTGCAGGCAAAATGTGGTCATGAAGAAAATACCTGTAGATTAGAGCATCGCTCAGCCATCATCAGAGGAGTTCCTTTTTTCAGGAAATGGTGATTAATAAATACAGAAGCCCACAGCAGACGATCAGAGACTGTGGACCACTTAGCTCTGAATAGGACATCTATGTCACACTATCATCACCAAAATCTCACGGGTCATCTCTGAAAAAGAGGCAGAAACAGTGTAAGAGCCAGAGGTAGTGGAAACAGTATTTGTCTGACATAACAGTGCTGTTGCACACATGAACTCACAGCAGCTGCGACTTGCACACAAAAAAACCAGCACAAGATCAAGCCAACCAAAGCCCCAGCGTGAGGTGGGGGCTCATGAAGGTCTACCAAGAGCTGACGAGCTATGGGTGGTTGATAGATGCTGGGAAGATGAAGGAGCCGGTTTTATTCAGGGATCCAGCGCCTGTGGGGTTCCAGTAGATGGTCCTACACCAATGCACATGCAGGCAGCACTGAATCAACTGAGTATTT